TAAGAATGAACATGCAACTGATATCAGCCAACAAGATCAGTATCCAGTTAAATCCACAAGTTAGAAAGAAGTCTACCACTTAAGACATTTCTCTCTCACCTCGACTACAGGTTTTGCTACGACCTCATAAACACACTTCTGAGAAGCAGTTTCTGTGAATACTTCGTCAAATTTGTAAGATTCAGAACTCCAGTTGTTTTTTCGCAACTTTAACCGCTTCAGCTACATTGTATAGAAAAAAGAAAAAAAAAAAAAAGATCAATTTAAGATTCTGGTGGATGCACAACATAGGGTGTCCAGAGTATTTCAAAAACAAGAAAAATGTGGCAGGGTAGGGTCCAACTTACTTATGATAAAACCATGAAATCATGATATGAACCAGAAGTAAACATGCTTTGATAATTTACAACAACTAGAAAAAAGCCTCAGGAATTTTGTTAATAGGCCTATAAATTACCTGTGGCTGCAATTCAACACAGTCAGCAAAATCAGCATCTGAAAGAAGATCCTCAGCATTTCTTGGTCGAAGTCTGACAGCAACTCTCACCCTTCCAGGATCTGTGAACCAAGTTCAGAATGAAGGATATTTAGAAGCGATATTTTACACAAGCATAAGAGCAACAAATTAATAAACATTCATTATTATCATTCCACAAAAGTCAAAATGAAACTCAATAATAAACCCATTTTAAGCAAGCCAAAAACAAACCTTTATTCAGAAACAAGTAAAATAACCAAAAAAATGAAAGTTCAGTATACAAAATACAGCAAAAACAAAAACAAAGAAAGAGAAAGAGAAAGAGGGGAAAAAACCATTTTCATCATCAAATTCCGTGGAGTGAGAACGAGAAGTTGGAGTAACTGAACGTCTGGAAGAAGAAGAAGAGGGAGGAGGTTTGGTATCCTTTGAGCGAAGAGACTGTTGCCCATTATTTAAACTTCTCGTTAATGAATTCCCACCATGGCTAAGACCTTGTTGCTGTTGGCTAATTCTTTGCCTTTCAGCCCTTTGTGCCGGTCTCAAACCAGAACTCGTCGTAGCCATTGTCAGTGTGAAAAGAAGAAAAAGAAGAAAATCTGAAACTGGATTTGGCTAAAAAAAAATTGGTTCTTAAAGAAATTGAGTAAATGGGTACTTTAGAAAGAACAAAACCCAAAAAGAAAAAGACAGTTCTTTTTTTCTTTTTGTTTTGACAAGTTCTTGTTTGCAGAGCAGTTGAGGCCGGCACGATACCAGAGAAAGAAACACTAAATGAAAAGAGAAATGGGGGTTCCCGCGTTATTGGGTGGTGTTGAGAAGTGGGTAGTTTGTTCTGTTTGATGTGAAAACGTCAATGGAATAGGGGCCGGCAGCAAAGCACTCAGCAGATTCAAATGGCTTTAAGGAAATCTTGTTTGTTTCAAAAGAGGGTGTGTCACCATTGTTCTTACCTTTTCAACTTTTAAAAAGCTTTGATTTTGAGAGCTACCCTCTCACCAGAAAAAAAAGCAATAAGCCTTTTTGATTAGCAGCAATTCCAAGGCCATCCTTTCTATAGCACATCTTACTTTCTTCAATCAAAATATTCCAACAAAAATTTAAATCATTAAATTAACTTCATTTCAATGTCATTGTTGCTATAAGTGCTTAATATACAATTCAAATGATAAATTTAAAATGAAAAAAAAATTGTGGTATATCCTCACAATAAAATTGGAAATTTAATACACAACAAATTAATATAATTAATTATTTGTCTATAGTAAATTTTCATTGAAAGTTCTTTTCTTTCCCTACCATCTTCATGCATGGGTGAGATATTTTTGTTCATTTTGGCCCATTAATCAAACCCTTAATAGCTGCGGGTTCCACCCTGCATGTGAGCTCATGGCTCCTTCCATATCTTTTCATTGAATATTTGATATCTGTAGTTGTTTTTTAAATTTGATATTTTAAATATTTATATTATATCTTATATAAAAATTATGTATAATAATTTATGTCGATATAAAAAAATGTAATATATTTTTTAAATTATTTAAATTTAAAAGACTCGAATTCAAAATAATTTAAATTTAAATAATTAAATTCAAAATTTTTTTTCATACAATCCAAAACTAAACTGGTATGATTGACACCTCTATTAATTTTAAATCTCGAATACTTTAGTATATTAAAATTAATGGGAAAAAATCATGAATTTCAACAAATATCGAAACTTATTTGTGAAGCAACCCTTTGTCATTTCATAAGTATCATTCTATTTATCTTTAAATTTGAATTTCAAATTTTTAAGATAAAGTCTTAACCGTTAATTGTTGCGCTGTTTCCTTAAGAGGAATCAAACATTACTGTCTGCCGCATTGATTGAATCCATAAATTCATAGGGCAATAATTAATGAAATTAATCTTCGTAACAAAAACCAATGATTTATTATTATTATTATTATTATTATTAGATTTCTTTCATTATTTTTCTGTAATGTACTTTTTTAATATATTCATTAACACTATTTATAAGTATCTTTTTTATAAAAAATTGTAATCTAGCAATAAAAAATTATCAATAAAAATTTTAAATTTAAATTAATTATATGCATATTTTAAATATATTTATATGAATTAATTAAATTAAATTAAAATTTTTACAATGTGTTTATAAATAGATCTTAGAGCCAAACCCATATTATATTTGACTGTTTTGACGACTTGTTTCTTTCTGCAGACGGTTGCCGGAACCCAACAATGAATGTGCGTTACATCTTAGAAGACAGCAGTAGCTCCACTTGTTTTGTCGTTTTCTATTGACACAGACATTTCACTCTTTGAATTCAACAAGTGTGTTTCATTCATCGGTCATCTCTGGACAAAACCTTGTAAAATATGGTTGTCTCTTGTCTCTTTTACTCAAATCTCAAAAAAGCTGGCCCTTTCTTTTTTTGTTATTATATTAAAAGCTTTTCAATAGGTTTTAAATTATTCATATCCTACTTGATCATAAACAATGTCGCTCCATTTGAAAGATTTAACGTGGAAACTTAACGTTTTATGTATATAAATCTTCGTACGTAAAGAGAGAAATGACGTAATTTGTTCTTGATTTTTTTTGGGTGGGGCTAAATTTGACAAATTTGAAGGAGAATTTCAATCTTGTACCTTAAATACAGCCAACCAAAAGAGGACCATATATAATTCACTTTTTTTTCTACAAAAGGAGCAATTATATATAGAGTTGTTGAGCTATTTATAGGTCCGGTGAGAGCAAGATTTGTTGAAAGTTGAGTTAGTAAACTTGCTAGACCTATCAAGGAAAAAGTAGACATTAGAGTTAGAACTTGGGGACGAACTTCAAGACTCGAGTTAATGAAGTATTTGAGAAAGACGAAGAAAAAAGACTAAGAAGGAGAGGAAGAGAACTATAGAGAGAGAGAGAGAAAATGTTTACATGTCCAATAATATTTTTATCAAAATTTTTTTTTATATATTTTATGAATGATGATTTGATTATTTATACAAATAACGTATCTTTTTTAAGATTATATATAAGATTAAACGTAAATTATATGAGTGAAAAAAAAGGAATGTTAAATTATAAAAATTAAGTATATTGTTAAAGAGTGAACTGATGGTTGTTGGTTGTTCAAATGTTAAGATTCGAAAGTAAGAAAAATGATAATTTGTTGAATCAAAATTGATATGCATTTCTGCTTAAATTATCAAACATAAAGAAAAGTTAGTGAAAGGTGTAGCACATATGAGTTTGTTTCCTTTTATTTTTCTATAATCATTTTCATATTTTCTATATTGTCTTCCATATCCATACACAATAAAACTGTCATGTATTCTTGTGAAAATAATGTTTTTCAAAAATTAAATTAAAATTTCTATTTATATTCAAGAAAGTTTAAACTTTTAATTTAAGTTAAATATGCTTAAAGAATAAAAATTTTTATTATCGAAAAAATATGTTATTTTCTTAACATCTTTATTATGGGTTAAAGAATTTTTCTCTTTGTTTTTGCTCTTAGAACATGTCAGCTATTCCTCCTATTCCTTGACATGATCCATTAAAAAAATAAAATAAAACTGTGTCTACGCTGAAGTGAGTTGGTTACTGTGAGAATAACAGTCAAAGAATCTACCATTGCTTTTGCTTTCCTGTCTGTTTTTGTTGTATTCATTTGGCCGGCGAATAATGGAAGCGTCCTTTACCATGTGTGCAAGCTGGAATGAAAAGTTAAGGCTATGCTTCACTCATGTGCACACTAAAGGACAGCGAATGATTTATTAATAGAGTTTTGAAATTTTAGTTCATAACTTCACAAGCAAAATATAAAAATTAAATGTTTCAACTTTTTTAATTATTTTATATTTTTACCAAACTCTAAAATATGTCATATATATGTCATCTACTACTCACACTTGTAATATTTAAAAATCTACTCATCGTGCTTGTTCTATTTAAAAATTCTACTGCTAGAGGATGTGATAATTTCTTTTTAACTTATAAACATTTATTAAAGTTTGTTCAAATGAGGATTTAGATTTTTTTTTTCTTTTAATGTAATAGTTTTATTAAATTCAAGAAAAGATAATAAATTAATTACAATTTTTTTTTTCTTTCAAGATCATTCTAACTCATGCCCGTACACACTCGTTAACCACTATTCCAATTTTGCATGCCACTGTGATTTACACCAAAGTCTTGAATGTATTGCATCCTACCATTTAAGATTCAATTCGGTAATTTATGCATAATCTCTTATTCAAATAGCAGGTTTTGAATCTCTGAAGTCAAATATGACAATTTTAATAATATGATATAAAAATGATATTTAAAAAGATAAAAAAAAAAACACACAATTTAAATTTTTAATAAAAATATATAAAATTTGATAAAAGCAAAAAATTTATATTCTGTGTTTCCAGTATCAACATGAATTATGTTATAAAAATTTTCATATTTGATATTCGAATATATGAATTACTAGATTTATCCACCACCATGGCAATAACAGCACTATCATGTATTATTGCCCAAGGATGAATGCAATAACAGCACGATCACGTATTACCGGCCAAGGATGAATTGTTGTGAAGAAATCAAAGTCATCTAATTTAGATAGGGAGAGGTATATCCTGTGAACCTTCATTTAAATATCAATAACCATTAAGCAGAGCATATTTAAATATCTATACCGTGGCAACGGCACAATAATGCAATTGCTTCAGCCCAGAAGTTCCTTTTCTTTAAACCAGTTGAATTACAATCATTTGATTTCCATGAAGAGTTTGGTAATGTAGCATCTATTAGAAGCTCTCTATGTACGCAACTTCACATCTATATAAGTAATTTTACCACTCAGAAGCAGTAATCCAAGAATTATACCTTTTCCAAGGAAAAAGATGGGGTCTGCCTGCACAATTCAGCCAAACCAATGAGCAATGATGAAGTTAAACTCATAGGCCCATATACGGTTGCTGTGAACGGGTCAGTTTCCATGCTCTGATTGAAGTCTCTGCCACAGAAACCAAAGAAATGCATATGCTCCCACTGAAGCAGTGATTTTTTTAACTCTTCCAACCCATCGCACGAAGGTCACTCTGATTTAGCTCAATATGCTTCCCTAGCCTGCATTTAATAAACACATTCATCACAATGTATTACATGCATATGTAACTAAACTAGAATCTAATTCGCAGGATAATCCACACCCAAACTTTGATTTTCATTAGCAGACAAAACCCAAACCTATCTTAATAAATAGATGGTACATCAAAGATGCACAGTTTTAGCTTTTAAGGATCTATAAAAGCTTCTCACTACAGAAGTTTTAGTTTGCTTTAAACCTTTGTATGTTAAGTTTCTAACATACTAACCCACCTCCGTTGGATCACCTGCCTAAGAATTGGAAGGGTACTTTCTGATTGATAAACATGGTTATATTACCATATGACGGGATAGATCGAAGAAAATAACTGGTTTTTAACAAATTTTAAAATAAAGAAAGTAGAAAGCACAAATTTTAGTACCCTAGCCTTCCTCGTATGAACAGAGGCACACCAAGCTAAAGATTCTGAAAAGAAACCCACATAAAACAAGAGAGAGAATATTGCTAGTGGTACCCTAAGAAAGTTGATTGCTCAACAGGACAATTAGTTCAGATGTTAGAGTGCCACTTTTATAATGTGACGGTTATTAGTTGAATAGTAGCTTGCTTTGGTACTATCAAATTGTATCCATGTGATCAAGCTAACACTTGGTAAAGTGATTATGTAAAGGAAAAAAGAAAAGGGAAAAGAGGGAAAAAGGCACCCTAAAAGCTTTATGTAAAAAAGTGGCATTATAAAAAATAATACCCTAGATCTGCTGGAAGTCTGAAACCGCCTATGCGTACACGCTTCAATGAATGAATCTGGAAAAAAAAAAATATAAAGCCTTAGCAACCAAAATAATAAGATAAATAAATAAGTTAAGGAGAAATTTGAAGAAACAGATAAAGTAGCCAGTAAAACTTGATGATGGAAGATCTCATATAGTTTAATAAGCCTACCATCCCAAAGCAACAATAATTTCATATTACTAATGATTATCTTGTGAAACAATTCACTTGATGATGGAAGATCTTATATAGTTTTGAGGGAAAACACTTATTTACATCTGGTTGTAATATTGTAATATGTATATTTATTGTATATTTATATTTGTATCTCTATAATTAAATATTTGTATCCTTAGAATTAAGGACAAAAAATTAGGATAGACAATCCCTCAATTATAGGATCAGTTTTTAAGAAGATTTAGTTTCTTAATTTAACCCCTAGTTAGTTGTATATAAACCTAACGTTTTGTATAATTCTTTATGAGCAATTTTTCAAAATACATTCAATTTTTCTCTTAATTTTTCACACAGTTTTATTTCTTAGTTTTTCCACATGGTATCAGAGCTTTAGACTCTTCTTGGGAAGCAAAATTTTCAGCCTTCATTGCTGACTTCTATTTTCGGCCTTCATTGCCGAATCCTATTTAGGCCTTCCTTGTCGAACCTTGTTAAGGCCTTTATAGCCATTCTATTTTTCCCTTCTTTAGCCTTCATTGCTAAAAGTCATTTCTGGTTATATCTTAACACTTGTTTCAGTTCAAAGAAAGATATCACTACCACCCAATTTGAGAAAATGTCAACTGAAAAAATCACCTGAGTGCTACAGATGTCTCAGAAACAATGAGAGTTCGACAGGAAGAGATTGAAAAGCTAAGAAACCTATTGAAAACCCTTGAAAAGCTTACTGTGATATGTTCCTTAAGTAAGGTCTCTAGTTCAGGTAAAGCTTTTGGTTCTCATGGATTAAATGTCGTGGTTAAGCCTATTACGAGTTCTTGGGTCATTGACTCAGGAGCCACAGACCATATGACACATTCCTCACAGAAGTTTAATACATATACCCTGTGTCCTAGTAATAAGAAAATTGTTGTTGCAGATGATTCACTTACTACAATGGCAAGATTACGAGATGTTGAAGTGAATCCCTCATTTGTTCTCAAAAATGTTCTTCATGTTCCTGGATTGTCTACTAATCTGATATCTATACAAAAACTTACCAGAGATATGAATTGCAAAGTAACTTTTTATCCCTCTTATTGTGAATTTCAGGACCAGAGTTCGGGGAAAAGGATTGAACTTGCTAAGGAGAAGGATGGACTATACTATCTTGAGACATCAAATAACACAAGTAATATCAAGAATAGTTTACCTTTATCATTTCTTTTTGAAAAATCTTCCAATAAAGACAAAATCTGGCTTAATCATTTTCGTCTTGGACATCCTTCTTTTGGAACTTTGAGAAACATGTTTCCTTCTTTGTTCAAAGAATTAAGTGTCAAAGATTTTCATTGTGATGTTTGTGAACTTGCAAAGCACAGACGTGTATCTTTTCCAATTAGTAACAAAAGAAGTTCTACTCCCTTTTACTTGATTCATAGTGACATTTGGGTCCCTCTACAATTCCTAATATTTTTGGTGTAAGATGGTTTGTTTCATTCATAGATGATTGTACCAGGATCTTTTGGGTTTTTTTACTTAAATCCAAATCAGACGTGAATAATGTGTTTTTAAACTTTCAAAACATGATCCAAAATCAATTTGGAGTGAGAATCAAGAGATTTAGGTATGATAATGCAAGAGACTATTTCAACCAGAGCCTATCCACCTATTTCCAAAAGGAAGGAATTATCCATAGGTCATCTTGTGTTAATACTCCACAATATAATGGAGTGGCAGAAAGGAAAAACAGCCATTTACTAGCCACAACCCGAGCCTTCCTTTTTCAAGCAAATGTACCCAAATCTTACTGAGATGAAGCTGTTTTCACTGCCACATACATTATAAATAGGTTACCTTCAAGGGTTTTGGGATTTAAAGCTCCTATGGAATTACTCTTACAATTTTATCCCAACCTTAATACCACAAACAACCTCACACCTAGGATATTTGGTTGTACATCATTTGTTCATATTCACAGTCATAATAGGGGAAAGTTCGATCCAAGAGCGATTAAGTGTATCTTTGTGGGGTACTCAACATCTCAAAAAGGGTATAAGTGCTATCATCCTTCTACCAAAAAATTCTATGTGTCTGCAGATGTCACTTTTTGAAGAAAATAAACCATTTTTTACTCAACCTTATCTTCAGGGGAGACTTCATTCATGGAAGATAAGGATAAAGACTTTTTTTTGCTTGATTTGTCCTCTTCTTCAACATTTTCACCCATTAATTCTTCTAAGTCAAAACCTGTTTTTGCTGAGCCTAAGTCAAACATTGAATTTGAGTCCAAAGCCATTCCAAATACAGAAGATGTGACAAAGTATAATATTGTTCTTGATTCTATAAAGGAATTACAGGTGTACTCAAGCAAGAAAGTTCCAAATCCTGAACCAGTGCCAGTCAAAGAACCTGATCCTAACTCTGAAAATTAGGTAACTACAGTTCTTGACTCTGTTTCTCAAAAGGAGTATGAATCTCCTAAAACTATAACTAGTGATTATGATCTGCCTATTGCCATTAGAAAATGAACCAAAGAATGTACTAAGCATCCACTATACCCAATCTCTAATTTTATGTCATTTGAAAATTTCTCACCATCCCACAAAAATTTTATTGTGAGCCTAAACACTATTTCTATTCCAACTACATTATCCGAGACATTATCCAGTGAGAAATGGAGGCAAGCTATGAAAATAGAAATGGAGGCCTTAGAGAAAAATAAGACATGGGAACTGATAGAGGCAAGCCTAAAAGAAAAAATCCAGTGGGATGTAAATGAGTTTTCACTGTAAAATACAATGTGAATAGTACTGTTGAAAGGTATAAAGCCAGATTAGTGGCTAAGGGCTACACTCAAACCTATGGAGTGGATTATCAGGAAACCTTTGCTCTAGTTGCCAAGATGAATACAGTTAGGATTTTGTTATCATTGGCTGCAAATTACAATTGACAGCTTCAACAATTTGATGTAAAGAATGCTTTTCTACATGATGATTTGGAAGAAGAAATATATATGAAGGTTCCACCAGGATTTGGAGGTCATCTAGAAGCAAATAAACTATGCAAGCTGAAAAAAGCTTTATATGGCCTTAAACAGTCTCCTAGGGCTTGGTTCGGGAGATTTGCCAAAGTGATGCTAGCAATAGGATATAAACAGAGTCAAGGAGATCACACATTGTTTATCAAGCACTCTGATTCAAGGAGAGTCACAGTTTTATTAGTGTATGTTGATGATATAATTGTAACTGGAGATGATGCAAAAGAGAAAGAATCTCTAAAACAGTGTTTGGCTAGAGAATTTGAGATAAAAGAGCTAGGGAGATTGAAGTACTTCCTAGGAATTGAAGTAGCTCACTCACGGCATGGTATTTTCAACTCACAACAGAAATATGTGACGGATCTTTTGAAGAAAACTGGGAAGCTCGCATGTAAACCTGCAAATACTCCTATAAATCCTAATCATAAAATAGGAGAAGCTAATGAAGATGCTACTGTAGATAGAGAGATGTACCAAAGATTAGTTGAAGACTCATTTATCTCTCACACACTAGACCTGATATAGCATATGCTGTAAGTGTGGTAAGTCAATTTATACAGTCCTAAAGAAGTGCACCTACAGGCTGTCTACCGTATATTGCACTATTTGAAGGCCAATCCTAAGAGAGGTATCTTATTCAAAAGAAATTCGAAGCTAGTTCTAGAAGCATATACAGATGCTGATTATGCAGGTTCAATAACTGATAGAAAACCCACTTCAGGCTACGGCACTTTCTTAGGTGATAATCTTGTGACTTGGAGTAAAAAACAGAATGTGGTGACAAGATCAAGTGCTGAAGCAGAGTTCAGAGCAATGGCCCAAGGAATTTGTGAACTACTATGGTTAAAGATTATCCTAAAAGACTTGAAGATCAAGTGGGATGGACCAATGAGACTCTACTGTGATAACAAGTCTACAATAAGCATTGCACACAATCCTGTGCAACATGACAGAACAAAACACACTGAAGTAGATCGGCATTTCATAAAGGAGAAACTAGATGGTGGGTTGATTTGTACATCTTATGTATCAACCAAGGGTCAACTTGCAGATGTGTTGACTAAAGATCTCAGCAGTGCAACATTTTAAGAAATTATTTCTAAGCTGGGAATGGAAAACACCTATTCACCAGCTTGAGAGGGAGTGTAGGAAAACACTTATTTACAACTGGTTGTAATATTGTAATCTGTATATTTATTGTATATTTATATTTGTATCTCTAGAATTAAGTATTTGTATCCTTAGAATTAAGGACAAAAAATTAGGATAGACAATCCCTCAATTATAGAATCAGTTTTTAGGAAGATTTAGTTTCCTAATTTAACCCCTAGTTAGTTGTATATAAACCTAAGGTTCTTGTATAATTCTTTATGAGCAATTTTTCAATATACATTCAGTTTTTCTCTTAATTTTTCACACAGTTTTATTTCTTAATTTTTCCACAAGTTTAATAAGCCTGCCATTCCAAAGCAACAATAATTTCATATTACTAACTATTTTCTTGTGAAACAGTTTTAAGTTATTGTTGGTTCATTCCTATATAAACTTGATCAATTTGGGGCAAATAATAAGCCATTTTACCATGCGAGTAAATGTCTTGTAAGAGAAACTGACCTCAAGCCCCGCATTTTTCACAAGTTCACGAACTTCATGATTCCTCCCTTCATGAACCTGCAAATCAAGTTTTAGCAAAAGGGGAAAAATTGGCAAAATAATTCAATCAATCTTACACAGCACTCATCTTTTTACTAAATTCTATGAAAATGATTGGCAAATACCACTGTTTCGTTTAAACTGTTCAATTAATGGCTCAATTTGCATACTAAATCTTTAACTACAAAGAATCCAAGAGAAAAAGACCAAATTATCTAAAATTACAAACTAATTTAAATTCATAAAAAATTGGCAATTTCAAAACCGCGTGTTGGGAAAACCCTTACCACAACACGAAGACGAGGTCTAGACGAGTCTGGCTGCCGTGGAAGTAATTCCACAGAATCTGGGATGCAATGAATGCCTTCAATTTCTGTCCCTTCACTGATGGCAATTAAGTGCCGGTTCTTTACTTCACCATCAATTGTTGCAATGTATCTGTAATTACATTGTGGCAAGGAATAGAACATATGTCTAAAAATAAATATAAGAGTGACAATACCATCCTCAAAATAACAAAACCTTAGTCAAGATGAAAAACGAAGGGTATCATTTAATTAAAAAAAGAAGCAAATGGAATACAAGAATATAATGAATGAGTCACCATAGCATTAAAGTCTTAACTCAAAAACAGTTGGCAGTTAAAATATCAAGCCATTGCTAATCATAATGTAACACTACTATCTTTCAGAGACATACTATCCAATGTAACAATTCTCACCAGTACTAATTTCACTATGAAAGGACATTCTTTCAGGACAGTTATGTGCAATAATCCCAGTTACAAACAGAGAATAAAATTAGAAGAATCTTACTCCTTATGAAAGTTGGATGAAGGATGTGAAAGCTTTTGAGCAAAATCTCCTAAAATGGACAACAAAAAGAAAAGATGAAATGGCTTAAGATAATAAGCTTAAGGATGGGTATATATGCAGCAAAATGCATACCATCATTAGTCACAATAATCAAACCAGTTGTAGCAACATCAAGTCGGCCAACAGTGAATAATCGTGGCTTGGGAGATCCTGGATTCATTTTGTCCTGTAAAAGCAAACATCCTTCTTACAAGTTTGCAGACTATAACATTGACAGGAGCAAATCTTCTAAGCAACCATGGTTGTAGCTGCAAGTATTTAACAAGTAAAAGCCAAATTTTTAAAATTGAAACATGGACATACCCATCTCTTTAAATAGTCCTCAAACAGATCAAGGACAGATCTGAACTCTTTCTCCCCAGAAGAGCAAATATACCTGGCATAACATGATTGCATTAGATCCAGATTCAACTGAAGGAAAAAAATGTTAAAAAGCCATTAAAAGCAGATTGTGGTTCAGTAGTGGTGACGAACCCTTTGGGCTTGTTTAGGGCAAGATACACTTTTGGTGGCAATCTTTTAGGCAGGCGGCTCCCATTGACATAAATAATATCCTTTGCAGGATCAACTCGAGTCTGCAAATTATCACATATACTGAGCATTTGATTCCGGTGCCATCAAAAATGAGATAAGCATAAAACCTTCTAAGGAATTCCAGCAGCAATATTCAGACATGAATCATTTTTTGTCTTGATGCTTCTAAACATGAATAATAAAATGAACAAAAAGAAAATAAAGCAGGGATGCATTGCCCATAAAACCTCTAATAAAATAATATTGAACATGTTAGACTTCTCACTTCATTTTTACCAATTCTACTGTCCCATTTACTTCATTTATGCTGCAAATGCTCAACAAATCCACATTGATGGTAAAAGAAGTGATCGAAAAGGGGAGCATTTTTCCAAGAGAAAAGCGCTTTATCAACAAATTGACTGAGAACCATAAGAAATATCCAAAGGGACCGAGAACCTCCAACTCACCTGAGGAGCATTGCACACAGAACCATTAACAGTCACCTTGCCATCAAAAATAAGCTCTTCACTTTCACGCCTCGATGCCACTAGTAACACAAACATTAAAAATATATATGTATGTATGTATGTGTATATATATATATATATATATATATATATATATATCATTACACATTCTACAAAGAATTATAAACACATCTACTGATAGTTGGGGTTTAAAAACTAACAACTGATTATAAATAAAAACATTAACATATTTAATTAAATGGACAAATGATAAGCATTCAGAATCTCTTGTAAGAATTTTTAAACTCTACCATTAATTTATAGAATATCACTTATCACTTCTACAAGTTTAATTAAATGGGCACATGAGAAGCATTCAAAATCACATTTTAAAGTTTTTAAACTCCAACCTCAATTTATAGAATAGCAGTTCTGAAAGCATTCAAATCACTTATTAAAAAAAAAAAAGCAGCGCCAATTTATAGAATATGGTTTCTTCAAGTAATAGTATTATTACACAAAACGCCCAATATTTTAGAAAATCAAAGTGAATTTACCTCCAGCAGCAGCAAGGACTTTGCTTAATCTTTGAGGAGGCTGTCTAAAATTTTCATTATAAAACCTTCTAGCCGCCTTGGAAAGCTTAGGCGGCGGCTGCTCAACACTGGCATTCCCCACAGCTGAAATCTCCTTTTCCTTCTTCACCGCCTTGACAGCCTTCTTTTTGGGTTTCTGTGTTTTAGCATCAGCTAGCGCGTTGATAAGATGCGAAGGGGGATGAGCTTGAAGTTTGAGGTTCCCGTCCTCGCCGCGTACGATCCAGGGGATGAAGAACTGGCCATCGGGAGGAAGAGGAGGGGAATCGGAATCGAGAACGGCGTCGGTTTTGAGGTTTGGTGGGGGTTTTGGTTTGGGTTTTGGTTTTGGAGGAGCAAATGTGATGTTGAATTGTAAAGAAGAGCAGGTGATGGGAGGAAGGGAACGGATTGGGCGAAGGAAAGGAGAGAGAGAAAGGGAAGGTTTTGTGAGGAGGGACAGGGAGGTTGAAACGTTGTGGAGGGACGACAGCGTTCCCATTTCTCTTGTTTTGCTTTCCTTCACTTGCTGACTGGTTCGCAGTGGATTTTATATTGGATATTTTGGATTTTTTTTAGTTCTTTTTTTTTCTTTTAATTTGAACGAATTAGGGTAAATTTCATTCATAATCTCTAGGATTTTATTTTGATATCTAATATTTGAATTGTTTTAATTAAGTCTCTAACCTTTTATATTTATTTCTTTTTCATAATTCATTCATGTTGTAATTTATGTAAGAAGAAAAAATTACACTTATATCATTTCTAAAAGATGTACGCATTAATTAAGTTAAATTCTACGACCATGCCAATATTTTTCATATGCTATTGTTAACAAAAAAATATGACATTGACAAAAGAATCAAAGTGAAATTATTTTAAATGAAATAATTGACAGAGAACTAAGAAAATAACTAAAATTTTCTTTTATATCTTTTGAAACAAGTAAGAATTGGACACCAACACTTTGTAATCATGTATAGAGAGGGAAATGTTCGAAAGGCAGGGGGTGGAAAACCAGGAACGGGGAACCTGTCCTCAACCTTCAACACAGGTCGGACATGTTGCTAAAGTGTCCTGGGGACCGGCAATCTGTTTAAAAAGTTGTATTATTAGTGATGTAAAGCAAGCTCAATAAAATCAAGTTCGATTCAATCACGCTTGCTCTGCCGAATGAAGCAGAAACATTGGAAACCTGCCGGACAAAATGTTAAAGAGTCTTGCGCTCCAAAATTCCTGTCATTGATTTCAAGACCCTAAAACAAAGTTAACAGCAACTTGTTAATATGGTTCATATAACTTCAGGAAGTCTTCCACTGGATTGATGAATAGAAAATAGTACTCACTACTGATGCTTCCCATCATGGAACTGTGCATTCTTTGAAGACTTGAAAGTTTCCAAAAATTCTTTAGCCTTCTTCATTTCTTCCTTCTGCCTTGACCTGTCCCAATTGTGCTCGGTAGAAAGTATTTGGATAATCCGTGGCAACGCACGGCCTGCTGCATCAGTGTCAAGGAAAGCAAGACGAGATCTCCTGGCAATGAAATCAACAGCAGATTCACAGTACTCGTTTCGAGCACAGTACGCAACCTCGGCCTCCAGACAAGGGTACCCATGGGCAAGCCTCTTACCCAAAGCTTCATTCTAAATATTGAAAGGAAGATTTGAAATTGTTAAATACCCAATAAGAAATTAAAATACCCATGTTCAGAGGCAAATTGCGATATTCAAATGATATAATACTTAAATATTCCCAAATTACTCTACACTAGATCACTAGATTAGATGGTGGCAATTGGGATAAAAAAATTCAAGGGCCTTATACTAAAACCATGTCATAGTTATGGTTCTATTTAAACTAATGAGGCTATTGCACCTATCATTGATTACCAATAAGGTTCTTATATAATTAAGAGGACAAGAATTAGTATATAAATTTATTATGCCCAGAAAAATTGAAGAACTGAATAAGAGTAATAAACAACTGCGACAACTGCTCTACAATTGCTTGTCCTCTCTCTAGCTGCACCCAAGCTTGTCATTTCAATTTTAAACAGGCATGGAAACCTGATGATCAATAAGTATTTTGATGCCAGCTCATACTGACAAGGAACATAATCTCACTTGATATTTCACAATATCAAAGCCATAAATATTCAATACACAAATAATAATGCATAACATGAAATTCGCATGACTATTAGCACTATCCCAGAAATAAATTATGGGAAGAAGCTCAAGACATTCCAAGCAAAAAATTTGCATTTATTTACTCTCTCATCAAGCAACCTAATAGAAGTGCCTAAGACTATGATTCCGAGCTTATTTCCAGTTATTTTATCCCTCTTAGAAGAACAAATCAACACCATATCAGAATGGAGATCCTAGAAAGCTTTTTTTTTTTTTTTTTGCCAATATCATTGAAAGCTATTCAATTCACTATTTCTTAACCCTTTGACTATTGAGGTATCTTAGGTAAATGTAAACAAATCCCTAAATTGGTATACACTCGAAGCTCAATGCGCCATAGACAGATGCGCAATTACCTCATCACTTAAGACCCATAATTAACAGTTTTGAGAGCTTAGCAAACCAACCTGAGCTATGGTGGCTACTCGTTCTGCTAAGGTGCCATATGCATGAGACAAATGCTTTGCAGCAGCTGTGTCCATCAACCCAGGAACAACTTTACCACCATATGACTTCTTCATGCGTACATACTGCTGAGCAAGAACAGTAAAAAATGAGGGTTCCCATCCATCTCCACCAATGAGCCGCAGGTTGCTTGTTATACATTCATTGCCTGGGCTCAGTTTACCAGACTTGATAGCTGCATTAACCGCATCTTCTGCCATGCTGAATCTAATTCTAATAAGCACAAAAACTCATGCCAAAAAGAAAACAGAGAAGGAAAGAGAGGAGATCAACAGAACAAGATCCCATGCCCCAAACCAGGGAATCCAGAATATGCCGATAGCTAGATCTGTAGTTCAACAGTTGGACCTACACTCCAAATTTTCACTTGATGTTAAGTTCAACAGTAGTCCATCAAGATAAACTCAGCTCTTGTGGACGACTGTAAACCACCAACACAACTAACACTTGCAACCATGTATCGGAAACAAGCCCCAGAATATCTGGCTACACCAAAAGAAAATTTAGCAAAATCAAAGTAAACATTACCTTCGATAAGTAGTCCACTTTCCACCAGTGATTGTGACCAAACCAGGATAATCCTCAGAAACAACATGATCTCTAGAGATACTCTCAGTATTCTTTGCATTAGGATCTACTGCCAATGGACGAATGCCACTCCAAGCAGAAAGAACATCTGAACGTCGTACCTAAAGTTTTCCACCATAATCTTAATCGAAAATCAGACTGAACCATTTACCAAAAGACAAAGACCGAATAAGAAATAAAGTAGAAAGACAAAGTCCAATTATTAAACATTGATAAATCCATGTTATACCTTGACATTAAGGTAATCACAGATTGCATCAAGTATAAATTGAATTTCATCCTCATGTGGTTCAGGAAGTGGAGTGATGGAAGCATTAGAATCTGTAGTGCCAGCTACAGTTCTCCCTAACCATGGAAGCATGAAAACAACACGTCCATCCTTAGTTTTAGGGACAATCAAGCCCATTCCTTCAGGAGAATAGTAATCAGGGAGAATAATATGTACACCACTGCTAGGGCATATCATAGGCTGTGCATCTTTGTTAGCCATTTTCCTTAAAGAGTCACAAAATGGTCCAGCCGCATTCACAACAACTTTTGCATAGGTGTCAAACTCTTGGCCTGTTTATATGATAATGAGCAAAAGGCTTAATGTAAAGATTGAATTTTATCAATCATTTTCCATGCATGTGAACAACAAAATTTCCTCTTTTCTTCATCTTGATAACAGTATTAAAAATAATTCAACAGTGCTTCAATCTTGCAGTACATGAGATAAGCCCCCCAAAAAGATAAAAATAGATATGTTTAACTAGGATAGCAACCTATTTGGAATGTAAAGATTAAATAATGAATGGTAACCTGAAGAAAAACACTTACTTTTTGGAACCACAGAGCACCATCATCTAAAGAATGACATCTTTAGATTTTAATTTTATCAATCTTGCATGACAAACGAGACTATTAATTACGTTATATAATTTGGATGGAAAGCTTTGAAGTTTGATGAAAACCTCCATTCTCAGGCATTTCTGCCACTATAGCACCGCTGCATTTTATTGGCTGTCAATTCTAAGAAATTAGGATAAGTTCAAAACTCGAATTTTGCAATTTTGTCTCATTTTTGGCATATTTCAAAAGTTAAGATCCCAATCTGTTGTATCATTGTATAAATAAGGAAATAGCCTAATAAACATATTCAAGTGTCTAAAAGGTGATTAATGTGTTCAAGGCAAAACTAATTAGAGCAAGTCAACTACACAGAATTCAAATGGGACCATCTCAATCAACTGCTTGGACAGAAAGCCGATTCGTATGTTCAAGACATAAGTGACTAATGCATGTCAAACAATAGAAATCAAATGCATCTTAGTCCATTGCTTTGACTGAAAGACAGAGTCAAGTCAGAGAAGAACAATAATTCTTACCAATCAATTTCCTAGAATATTATTAACAAGTATCTCTAATCTTATAGTCCTTTTACTTTTCTTTTCTTTTTTTTCTTTTCATTGCAAACTTAAGGTTTCATGAAGAGGCAGAGAACAGAAACTAGACTAATCAAGACAGATATGAGAATTGTCTACGCTTGAATTGGTTAATCATTTATGCGTATATTTGTTTGTTGAAAGAATATGCCTGCTCTACCTGACAGATTGTCACGAATTCTTGCACCAATTATCCGCTGAGTATCTTCATCTTTAAGAAAGGATACAACCTCTGCATGGTTAAGCACTGCTGCCCCAGCAAGAGCAGCAGTGCAAGCTAATCCAACATTTAGGCGTGAGTCATTCATCTGACCATCATAGTAGACAACTGTGCCCCTCAAGCTTTTATCGTTACCCTTCCTTGCAAGAGTAGGGAAGAGCTCAACAGATTCTTGAGCAGAATAATATCTGGATAAATGTAACAGATGTCGTCCTGCGACCAAATCGTACATTTTCAAGCCCATCCAATAGTATACCACTTCAAACCAGTTAAAACAGGGTGTCATGCATGGCAATGCATGGCAGAGATGAGGAGCATTCTCAATAACCTGTTTACGCTCCTCAAGTGCATGGAAAACCAGTTTCAATTGCCCACGGTCAAGGTTAAAGAGAGCTTTCTCCAAGTAGCGGACTCCTAGCAGAATCAAACAAATGGATTAACCTAAAAGCTAAAAGAAGCTTATAGAGGAGATATGGAATTGGCATCATGTACATATTTCATGGAGTGTGATCAAACGTTCATCCTAGAGGAAACAATAAAACTATGACATGATGACATCAATTGCTATCCATCAAACACTTTATATAATTCAACAGGAAGGAAAAGTTTTGACATTAATCAAAAGACAAGGTGGGAAAAATACTTAAAATTAAAAAAAAAAGTGTGTATTGGCAAATTAATACAAGGATACTTGATACTTAATGGGGAGTATAATACCGAAATATTGAAGAAAAAATTTTAACAGAATTAATCAATGTGCTTATGTATTTAAACTCTACGCTCCCTCAGCAAAAATTAGAAAATTCAATACCTAATATCTTCTACGCATAGAGTGAGTTCCCAAAATTTCGAATCCAATGCACTCACCATGCTGGATTTGGCCTCTTCAACAACAACCGATGTTGAAAATCAGCAATTTTAAAGCATAAGTATGTATATATATATATATATATATATATCTCCTAAATATAGCAAAGAGAATGCATATTTGATCAAATCAGTTTGAAATTTCTTCATTTTTTTAATTATTTACTAAAGCACATTTTCATATCAAACGGACAAATCAATCATTAATCAACATGAAAACTAGAAAAATTTTTGATAAATGAAAAAAAAGACTCGAAAAACAGAAAAATAATATACTGATTCATTCTCAATTTCTTTGAAAAGGTTGAAAATAACCTTCCACAATACAGAAAATACGCGTATATACACGCATTTATATACGAATATTCATGCTTACCTCCATGAATTAGCTTCGTGGACCGTGAAGACGTTCCAGAGGAAAAATCCTCTCGCTCCACGAGGCCGACTCGGAGGCCTCTAGTGGCGGCGTCCAGAGCAACGCCGCAGCCTGTGGCACCACCGCCGACGACTAGTATGTCGACTGGATTAGCGGAGGTAGCACTGATCAGAGACGATTCCTGGACAGTGCGGGACGGAACGACGGCGCTTGGGTTATTAATCGTCCGCCTTACGGACTGTATGGTGGCGGAGCCACCTGCAGGGTCATTGGAAGCAACAGAGGGAGTTAAGAGGATTGCGCCACCGCAGGCTGTAACTGCTACTGCTGCGGTAGCGGCGGTGGCAAGACGTCGGAGGCGAGTGGCGGCTGCTGACATTGCGAAAGACAGAGAAAGGGCAAATAGTGAGGATAGAAGGGAAGTGAGAGTTGTTGGAGGTGCTGCCTTGAGAATCGGGCCGATTAGGAAGATAGATGATTTTAAGAATATTTTATTTGAATTTACAAAAATGCCACTCTCATTAACTTTCTTTTCTAATAAAAATGTTTGACTTTGTACTGAGCTTGTTAACCCTGTGGCTGATAGGCTTTTAGTAGATTCTTGGTTTCAAATAAGACTTCCTTTCATTCCTTGCTCTGTCTATATAGGAGCATAAAAAATATTCGACTTTCCTTTAATATGTAAGTGATTCACAGATATGCCACTTTCCTTTTATAATTTAAACATCCAATTAGATATAATTGATATTTTAATATTTAAATTATTTAAGTTCAATTAAAATAAATTCAAATTTAATTTCAGATAAAAAAAATTTTAATAGCTTGATTTATTAAGTAAGTCAAATTTAAATATTTTAATATCTAATTTAAATAATTTATAAATTTAATCAAAATTTTATATTTTAATAAATATTTTTATTAAAATTTTTATTTTATTATTATATTAATTTAAATTTGAATTCATATACAAATATTTAAATTTGAAGTCAAATATGAATATCGAGCTTATTTTTTATTTTATAAATAAATTTAATCAAACAAATTTAATATAATTTAACTTTTATTTTAAATTAAATTCAAATTTAAAAATTAAAACACAATTAAATTATAATCAACTTTCAAATCAAACTCGAATTTGAACTTCTTATGATATCAAATCAATTCAATTACAAACTTACATTCAACTAACAAAGAACATATTTGCTATAGATTTTTTGCCAAATGCTTTTTGTATAATTTTTCCAAATACTTTACAGAAATGGTTTTGTCAAATTAACCGTGGTAAGTAGCATTTACTACATTTTATCAACATCGTAATTTTCTTTGAACAATGCCATCATGGTAATTTAATCAATAGAAAAACTGAATATTTATGGTAAATTGTTACATTCAACATAATAATATTTTCTTAAAATAGTATAATTTAATTAGTATTCTTTAATGTTTTAAAAAACTAGTATTCTTTACTTTTTAAAATAAACTACTAAAGTACTCACTATAATTACAAAATTTTTGGTATGTTTATGCTGAATTATATACATTATAAATTATTCTATGGTTTATATGATAAAATTACACTATGCAAATAATCTTATCTAATCAAATTTTAATGTTTTAAAATTATAGAGATTAACTTTATTTAAAACTTTTACCATATATTTTTATCTTATTTAAATTAATCAAAGTTTATCCTCCAACTCACTTTTTTCAAATATGTACTATATTTAAATTTTATATAGGTTTTTCAAATATGTAAAACGTTTAAAATTCAAATAAATTTAAAATTTAAATCGTTAAAAATTATATATTCGTCATTGTTATCTTAGAATTATTATATACTTTAAGGCATCACTTATGATGATTCAATTCTTTTAAATTAGAAATGATTATTTTTAATTAATGGGATCAAATATAAGATAAGATAATATTATTTAATTTGATCTTAATCATAATATTATTTTATCATATCTTATCATAATATTATATATTAAACATAATCATAAAATATAAGATATGATGACATTATTTAATGTAAAATTATTCATAATATTATTTTATTCTATCATTTTGCACATGAAACACACCCTTAAAGTCTATAAATGATATGGACTGTCATTATTTTCTTTTTCAATTTGCAAATGTTGTTCAAAGCTATTTTTTCCCTTTGACACACATTTCCTTTTTTTTTATATTATGTTCAATAATTGATTAAGATCACATAAATACAAGTATGCCATACTTTTTTAATGATTTAATTTATTATTTAACAATATATTAGAAACTATGAAAAGAATTATATGTCTATTTCTAATAAAACTATCAAATTTATATTTCAAGAAGATGTTGCGACTGCATGTGAAATGATATATCAATGCTGTCAAATACAGTTTCATATAATCTAATTTTATCTCAAAATTTTTTCTTTATTCTTCAATAAATTGTAATTATTAATTAGATTTGAAAAAAATTTATTTTTAATTTCGTTCACTTTTGTCTCTTTTTGAATTTTTTAAAATTGTTTCTTTAACATTCAGTTCGTGAATTGATATAGGCTATGCCTATTTATGTCCATCACATTGCAACATTTTTATTTTGCTTTTAAATGATGCTTGTCTGGTTAAAAATTTAATTTTATTTTCTTATAAATAAATAAATATTATGCTTAGATAAAAAAATTCATGTTATCAATTTAAAAATTCTAATTGAAAATTATAACATAATAAGTTATAAATTTTAAAAACTTAAATATAATTTAAAAATATTAATTTATGTATATTTATATATATTTAAATAGATAAAATTAATTTATACATCTCAAAAATCACAAACTAATTGATGATATATTGTTATTCCGAAATGGAGTCATCATATTGGCATCTAAATAATAATAAAAAAAAAGGAAATAAAATAAAATATCTCGTTAAAACGAATCCAAAAACGAAAGTACGTTGAGGTAATTTCAAAAGAAAAGGTAGTCCCTAACAAACGTCTTCAAAAAGGTCGCGTAAAGAAAAAAAAAAGGATTCATGGTTCATGACTCGTGAGCCACCACATAAGCATTAAATAAATAAAAACAGTGACGTGAATTGAAAGGACTCGCCCTCCTTTCCATGAAGTTTGCAGCGTTTTTCAGTACTTGGATTTTTCGATGATCCTTGTGCCCTTTGGCTGCTTTGTCCGCTTTCATTAGATTAATTAATTAATGTACTGTGGTGAGTCAAAACGGAAACTTCCATCCAAGGTAATCGGCCTTCCCAAAATGGGCCATTCGACCATCCTCTTGCTATTTTAAGAATATATATTAACATTATTTGAGAAAAGGTAAGGAAAAGGAAGAGAAAGAAAAAAAATAAGAAATAAGAAAAATTTTATTTTGTATGATTTATTTTTATATTTTAATAAAGGGCATGAAAGAAAATTGAGTATCCTTCTTTTTTTTTTTTTAGATATTTCAAATTTTAATTATCTCGAATTGAGATAAAAATAAGAAAAGAGAAGAGTTAAAAATTTTTTAAATATAAAATAATTTTATGTACTTATTATATTTTATTATTTTTCAAAAAAATACTATTGTAATATTTAAGTTTAACATTTATATTAACTATTGATACTAGCTTTAAATTTTTTACAACTTATTTCTCAACCATTTTTTTGTCAATAACTTTGAATTTTATATGTTTTTAATTTATGCTTAAATCTTAATTTTTTTTTCATTTTGTTATAATTTTACAAATTTTAAATAATAAAAATAAAAGAATATAACAAAACATATACAACGATAAAAAATGCTAATATTTAAACAAATTTATGATTAATTAATAAATATTTAAGTTTTTAATTTTCTCATATATGGATTAATTTTGAAAAAAATAATTCTAGACATACATTTTTTATGAATTAATTATTAACAATATTCTCTTTAATTGAAATCATTTTTATTAATTTTCAAATAATTTTAAAATAATTAATATCAAAATTATTCACATTATAAAAACATTTTTATTTTAAAAGAATATAATTAGAGTAATATAATATAATATCTCATTTCCTTTTCACAACTTAACCAAATAAAATATATGATCATTCATTTCTTTTTTTTTTCATTTACTCATTTTAACTATTCAAATAAATGAATGAACTATCACTTATTTTCTTTTAAAAATCCATTTTTTTTCCTTTCTTTTGTTTTACTAACTTCAATCCAAATATAGGCTAAATTTATCATTTATTTTTGAATGGTTGTAATTTAATTATTATATTTGAATAAAAATTAGAACAATTAATAAAATATTCTTATATGTTCTCATGAAATATAAGAATATATTCTACAAAATTTAATCATAAACCGATTATTTGTGAGAAAACATAGGAGTTTTATAGAAAAAATAAAAATTTTGGATATTCTTCCATCAAATTAAAATGTATATATTGATAAATTCACACTTGTTAAAAATATATAATACATTTAATCAATTACTTTAAGCAGATAGACAAATTTAAAATTTATCTGTTTGAATTTGATGCAATTACTCTTAAAAATATATTTAGTAAATTTAAAATTTAAAATTTAATATTTATAACAAATTTTGTTTTTAAAGTAAGATCTTATTTGTGAAAAAAAAAATATCTTGGATATTAAACCTTAACATAGGTTGAATGATTTGTACATAAAAATTACGTATCATAATTTATATCAATATAAAAATATAAATTATATTTTTTTATTTTTTAACTCATATAATTATTAATAAAATTTTAAATCGTATCACTTTATATCTTATTTTTTTATTATATTATTATATTATATTTTAAATTTTCATATTTATGTTCATTTAAAAGAGACCAACCACGAAAACATACCTTTCAATGCTATAAAAACCTTTTATTCACGCTTCCAACTGGACTGCGAGTCGCTTCCAATACCACTTGCTGACGGTCAGGGGGGATTTTGGATTCTCTTTGGGCCCACTGGGTTGCTGGTCAATTTTTAGGTGATTGTCCTTGTGTTATTTTATTCATTAGGTTTACTTGTCACTTCTTTGGGCTAATTGGGCTCAGTGTGCCCTAGCACCTAATGCTTTAAACAAAACAAATTTTTCGTTAAGGCCCAATAATGGAACCCAAGGATCACCAACTCATTGACAGGGATTTTTTTTTTTGGTACACAAGGTTGATCTTTTTCACGAACTCCTTTTCTGATTTTCTCCACTGCAGACTGCAGAGAAAAGCAAAAGAATTTTAAAATGGCACAAATTCCAAATTTAGACAACTCTCCTTTGAATCTCAAGTCTCTCAGGTACAAAATTCAATCGATTAATCTCTTTATTTCCTTCAATTTCATTCGAATTTGCTGTAATTAATTATGTTTTTATTATTATTTATTTTTTTACAGGGAACAGTCGCAGAGAGATCTTGTTAAAATCCTTAAAGATGTAAGTCTTTATTTTTAAATTGATTAGCATTACATTTTGTTTTTCAACTTAACTACTGTTCGGTTACCGAGAAAAGAAAGGAAAAATAAAATGATGTTGTTGCAAGAAGCTTAGCTTAGTGGACATTTCGTTTCGATTTTATTGATTATTATATATTTTTGGTTATTTTGATGATTTTAGATTCGAGGAAAGAAATGTTTGGTTATTGAACCGAAACTTGGTGGCTCCCTCTCTTTGATTATCCAAACATCTCTTCTTAAGGTAATTCACTTTTTTTTTTTTTTTATTAAATGCTTAAATTCAATAAGAAAGTTGCATTCTTCTATGAAAATTCAGCCATTACGGTATCTATTGAAGCATTAAAGGCTCTTATGTTGACAAAGGTTTATATTTCGATTTATTGTTTTTATATTCAGCATGTTTCAATTCATACTTAAATTCAAGAAGAAGGATAATTCTTTTTGGTTTATAATTGAATAGTTATATGAACAATAAAAAAGAATGTACTGGTGTTTTAAAGTTTATGATTATGGATTTACTGTTGACTATGATCAGGAATATGGGATTGAATTGCGGCATCTTTCAGCTGAGCCAGTTCAGACTGATTTCACCAAAGTGGTTTATCTCATTCCTTCTCAGCGTGACTTGATGAAGTTCATATCTTCTCATGTGCATAGTGATATCTCAAAAGGACTTCAAAGAGAGTACTATATCTATTTTGTTCCTCGTCGTGAAATACAATGTGAGAGGGTAAGTACCTTTAGCAAAGAAATCTGTTGGCTGCTACTTAAACTCCTGATGTGCATATATATTGTCTACATAGACACTATAAAGAATCTTCAATGCTATGCAGATCCTTGAGGAGGAAAAAGTGCATCACTTGATAACCATAGGGGAGTACCCCTTGTATGTAGTTCCACTGGATGAAGACATATTGTCGTTTGAACTGGATCTTGCTTACAAAGTATGGAAAATTTACCTTTTTTCCCACCCGAGGTATTCATCTTGTGGTTTCTAAAGAATTTGAACCATTTTTTATGTGTATTTCTGCATGGTAGGAATGTCAGGTTGATGGTGATACAGGCTCTCTTTGGCATATTGCAAAGGCCATTCACAAGCTTGAGGTTCGTTGATACTACTTATGCTATTTATTTGGGCTAGATAATGATGAATCATAGTGGCAGATATCAAGAGTTAATAAAATAAGTTAATTAGATTATTATATGGTTAAGGATATACCAATTTAATACAGCTCTATCTTTCTAAATTCAATTTTTTTTTTCTAAATTTATTCTAAAATTTACATGTTGCAGTCTTCTTTTGGAGTTATACCAAACGTGCGCGCAAAAGGCAAAGCATCTGTTCTTGTCACAGATATTCTTAATCGCATGCAAACAGAAGAGCCTGTGAACTCATCTGATGTAATTATGGCCCCCTTTAAAACCTTTTCTCCCATGCAAATTTAGTTTTAATGCTTGTTGGCTTCATGTATTTATAAATGACTTGTGGCCTCCTACTTCCTTTTTGGTTCTTCAGATGGCTGTACCAGAGATTAACACTCTCATCCTCATAGATAGGGAGGTGAGTCTTGCCTTTTTGTGCACTAAGTAATTTTATTTTTCTAGAATACTTTCATCAAGATGATGTGAGACAGTTACTAAGGCTGTTTTAAGGAGAGTTACAAATTTATTATTTGATTAACACCTAAATGCTTAGCATACCACTAATAATTTACTAAATCAAATTGTGAAAATTCTTTATGTGAGCTCAAAATATACATAGTTTGTTGCCTGTTTCTCTCTCATTTGGCTAAGTTGACTGCAAAAACTAACAATACTATAGTTGGTATAACCTCAAATTTTCTATTGCTTATTTACAGGTGGATATGGTTACTCCTATGTGTTCGCAGTTAACATATGAAGGGCTATTGGATGAGGTAAGCTGATGCAAGTAGCGGCAGTATTGCAATTAAATATTGTTACATATTTTCTTTTCTAATCATCATGTTCATGTCTATGAGGTAGATCAGCCTATCTAGGGAAATAAAATTGGAAATTTATGTTGCTTTATGAGGTTTCTTTCCAAAGGGCTAGTTCTGTCATTATTAATATTTCTTTTGCTGACTATTTCAGTTAGTTTTGTCAGATAAAATATTCTAATGAGGTGGCTTTTTGATGGCATAAGTTGATGGGAAATCTGGATTGTCACTTATGCAACAAACAGTCTGTAAGATATTACATGTCTATATGGCATGAGTTGGTCCAGGGAATGTGATTAGGAAATTAAGCTTTTGTGGTCTTTGCCAAAACCTCTTCTCCTTCCCAATCTGGTGGCTGTTTTTTGTTCTGGTTTTACTAAAACACCTGGAATAGTGAGATTGTTGAGCTTCCCAGTTTAATGGCATTGGGTCATTTTATCTGAAATAGGTTGGTTAGATAGAAATCTTACTAACAAAAGAGATTTCAAATCAAAATTGTAATGCTGAGCTCTTTGAGGCAATCAGTGTTTCTATTTTTCTTTGTGGAAAAGAATCAGTATAAGATATTTTGTCTCTTAGTTGGATTTTGTTCAAAGGTGTCTCTTAATTGTTTCACTGCAGTTTTTGCGCATACATAATGGTTCTGTGGAGCTGGATTCGTCTATCATGGGTGTTCAGCAAGAAGGAAAAAAGATTAAGGTCCCGCTTAATTCAAGGTAAAGTTAACCTGTGCTTGATGCATCTCAGTGAAAAATTAAAATAGAACTCTGATTTTTACAAACACTGTGGTTTTGCTTGTGTTTTGACATACGGTCATAGATGGATATGACTTTTAGAAGGTTCTTAACTGTGTACCATTGTTGCATTTGTCAAGTAATTATAGGTTAGCCCTTGAGTGCATAAAACCAAACATGAATATTTTAGTTTGGTGGCTATTTGATTAAGATTTCTATCCTTTCTTTTGTATTTGTCTTGAAGCATGATGAGAAAATTGACTCATATAGGCCTCAGTTAGCACTCTAATCTGTCTTCACAAATAAAAGTAAAAACCCTTTTCACTGAGTTTAAGCATCCTTTTGTTTACTGCCTTCGTCTCCCCTCCATTTCCTCTATCTGATGTCAATTTAAATGCTTATTTTAACTTTTAGTGACAAGCTGTTCAAGGAGATACGAGATCTCAACTTTGAAGTTGTTGTCCAGGTTGACCTGTTTTAACTGTTTCCACATTCTATTTTTCCAATTCTTGCTTCCCCAAAGTTAACATCACTCCCAAGTTTCTCTTCTTAGTTGCCATCTGCAGTATGATTGCAGGTTCTAAGGCAGAAAGCAACATCCATGAAGCAGGACTACACCGAGATGACTACTACTGTATGTGAATAAGAACCTGAACATTCCTCATGCCTCATATGTCATGCTTAATGTCATAACCTGAATATGCCTCGTAGTCAAAATCCTAGTGAAAGAATTTTGTTGCTCACTAGTTAAGTTTTCCTGTGACGATTTAGAAAGCAGTCGTGTGCAAGTAGCAAGAATATTTAAAAGTTTTATTGTATGAAAAAATTATCTGTTGAACTCTTATCCATTGTGTTCACTTCTCATGTATCATAATTTGTGGGTCACTGAGTTATTGCTCCAATGGTTTCCTTCTGGGACAGTTGAACATTCTTAACTTCTTATAAGCCCTTTTTAATTTGTTGAATGCATACAGAACCAAACAGTTTCTGAACTAAAGGACTTTGTCAAGAAGCTCAACTCATTACCTGAAATGACTGTAAGTAGGTTTTTTGGTTTTTGTTCTTGGGAGTTACATTGGCTTCCTAGAAGTGTTCTGGATGAGTTTTAGGTTGTAATTTGCTGCTGATTATTGCTTCAGAGACACATAAATCTTGCTCAACATCTATCAACATTCACATCAAAGCCCTCTTTTCTTGCAAAACTTGACATGGAACACACAATTGTTGAGGCCTCGAGTTATGACATGTAAGTCTAACATGCTTCACCTACTAATCTCATGAACTTAAAATGTCAGTTCTTGCATTTTTCTGTTAGCTAATGCAACTATTACTGCTTGCTCATGGCATTTTTCTTTTGGTGAAGAAACTTATTATTCATTTATCTGAGCCAATTGCAGCTGCCTGTTGTTTAATTCTCTTGAAAAACAGTATCAAAATATCAATATTTGATTTTTCTTTCTTTTTCTACTTTCTAAACATTTGTTTCTGGTCTATGAATGCAGTTGCTTTGAATACATTGAAGAAATGATCCAAAAGCAGGAATCTCTTATCAATGTTTTGCGTCTTCTCATCCTATTTTCTGTAACAAATTCAGGGTTGCCCAAAAAGCATTTTGATTATTTGAGGCAAGAACTGTTTACTCTGTAGAAGTCACTTTTGATCTTGTTTTTCTTCTTTTGTGTTGAAACTGTATGCTAGTTTTTGATTCTTGACTTATACAAATTAACAGCTAATTTTCTTCTTTGACATATGGACTTGGTTATTTAATATATTTGTATTCTTGGTTTAGGAGGGAGCTACTCCACAGTTATGGATTTGAGCACATGGCTACACTAAATAATTTAGAAAAGGCTGGATTGTTCAAGAGGCAGGTATAGAATAAGAATGCATAGTCAGACATTTCCTTCAGTTTGTGAACTAGTCTAATGATCACAAGTTCAGTTGACTGTATCTTAATTTGTTTTGCATTTGACTCTTGCAGGAGTCAAAAAGCAATTGGCTGACAGTCAAACGTGCTTTGCAACTTGTAGTTGAGGATACTGACACAGCAAAGTATTTTCCTTGGACTGATGCAATATTTTCTTAATTGAACTGTCTATAATGTTTGCTATATTTTTATTTCTGTGTTAGAGGTTAGTTACTGCACAGTGTCAAGCTAGGTGGTTGAACAGCCTTGACTGATATTAGTTGCCATATCATCTACATTTTAATTATGGCCAATTTTTCATTTTAGAAGCCCCCACCCCAAACCAAGCTAAAAATGAGAGAGAGAGAGAGAATGGATGAGTGTATTTTTTATAAAGAAACTGTGTTATTGTTTTTAATATTTTCTTGTTTCCACGGTGCAAAGATTTTTTTTTTTTTTTTTTAGTTTTCAATCTCCTTAACACTCTATCATGACAAATAAATGATAATCTCTTGTGCCATTTTATATCTACCAAGCGGTCGATGAATTTCTTCATTGCATGTAAATAGTATATTGCAATTATTTTATGTGCCAAACAAAGAATTATGTGGAAGAAAATTGCTTCATGCTGATAAATATTCACTGGAAGAAACTTCTAGATAGCTGCTTATATATTTATTCTTTTATAAGTACCATCATGGTGTATTCCACATTATTAATCTCTTGGTTATTCTGAAGCAATTTAGTTTGATAACATTTTTAATATTTCTCTCTCCCCTTTTCTTTCTTGGTACAATGCTTTTGTATTTTCTCTTTCTCTGCTGTCAGAACAAACTTTGCAATGCTTGGAGTTAGTTGTAGCATGATATGCTGATGGATTTTTCTCTAGATTTTATCTTACATCTCATAGCAACATTTTAATCCCATGCATACTGTTCTACTTATATGAAGCAGTTAATTGTCCTCTTTTCTTTCCTAATTAAGAAGTTACTTTCTGATTCAACAGTCCTAATGACATAGCCTATGTCTTTTCTGGATATGCACCTCTTAGTATTCGTCTTGTCCAGCATGCAGTTCGATCTGGATGGTGAGTTCTGTTCAATTTCATTCTAATTATTGTATGTGATCTAGATATAGTATGCTCTGCCATTTTCTTCACTTTTCTGAATGAGAAAAAATTGATTCGACACTATCCTGCACTTTGTAATCATTAGAAAGTTTAATGCACAGCAAGTTTATAAGTAGGCCCCAAATCAATCGACAACTAAGCAGACAAGTTTATAGAAATTGGCCATAAATCGATAGCAGACCAAATAGGCCCCAAGTTTATAGAAAACAGGCCCTAAATTGATAGCAGACTAATTAGTAAATTTTGTTGGGAGGAACCACCCCCACCCCATCCCCAAGGGAAAAAAGAAGAGGAAATAATTTATATTTATGAACTAATCATGGTAGAGGAGGACAGAAAATGGGGGCCCAAAGGTTTAACATATAGCAAAACAGGTTGCTGGCAATGTTTGGATAACAGAAAACATGATAGGGTTGAATTTTTAGGCATGGCTAGAGATAGAAAAGGGAGTGAGAATGCAATCTTGAAAGATTTGAAGAAGATGAGTTTATTGAAGAACACAAGTGCCTACCAAACAGAGAGAGATATCAAGAAAATGTGACGAGAGAAGAAAATAGAAAAAGAAAGGTGGGGTAAGGCAACAATTAAAAGAAGTTATTTTATTGTTAGCCTGAAGTTCTTTTGTTGCTCTTATTTACCAGCCAAGAACTTTAACCAGGCAGGAATATTAATCCAAACCCCTGCCAGCCTTCAATTTGTGAATGTATATATGATAATATGGCCTTACAGGCGTCCTATGGAGGAAATTTTGAAGCTGTTGCCTGGGCCACATACAGAAACAAAAAGGGTCAGTACAATTCTCTGTTTCATCAGATTTGTTTATTTTACTTTCTACCCCTTTTTTTTCTGTCTTATGTTTTACTGTTTCAAATATCTGTATATGGGGTGACATTTCTCTGGAATTGACTTCTATGCACCAAAACTTGACTCCCCAAGTATATTTGTTTTTTGGATATATTTTACTATCAGTGGCATGTTTGTTTTCATAGGGTGGCTTCACTAGTAGTCAATCATTTGACGCATTGCAGGGTGCTTCGAGTGGCTTAGACAAGTAAGTAATATTTCCCTTTTATGCATGTCTCATAATTCCAGTGCTAGGCAAACCATTAAATAATTTCATTTAGATTTTTGCGTGGGAATTTATTTTGGTAATGAGACTCCTTTGTCAGTTAATTGTCCAAAGATAATGATGAAAGGCAATAACCATGAGTATGGGGCAGTAAAATTGAGACTGCCTTTTCTGTAATAATAACCAAAGATGGTTGTTTCAGTGATTACAGCAAGCTCCACTGACTTTTCTGTTTGAAGTATTGTTCCGTTTTTCTTCTCTTACCTCTATAATTTGAAAATAGCAATCTTCATATTCTTTTCCTTTACAGAAAACCTTTTGTTTCTTGGCTCACTCCTTGAGTTATTGCAGAATAGCTGATGGGAGGCGCTCGCTAGTACTTGTTGTCTTTGTTGGAGGGGTAACATTTGCAGAAATTTCTGCACTCAGATTTCTCAGTGCTCAGGTATGTTGATTCTTTTGTGTAAATGGTATGCTCACTGTCGTACAGGGTTTTGTTAACATATATTGCAATAAAAGAGTGATTACTTATTGAAATACATAATATTTTCAGGTATGTTAGGAAGCAATTTTCTTGAGTGTATTTTTTGGATTTGTGACACGGGAGTCTCTAGGGGTGTTCTTTTCTCTTTTCTGTTGCATAGGATTCGGGTGATAACTTTTCTAAGTTAAGAAAACAAAACATTTATCAATCGTATCTCATTACGTCTTGTTTGTGGTAACGATGACTATAAAATGTATTCTAAAGGCAATTGTATATAGTCTAAGGTGGTAAAATAGAAGCATTTAGACTTTTAAGAATGGAAGTGGTGCTGGTGGGTTTCCTGTGCTTAGATTTGTTGGTTTAATTACATTGCGTGTATTTTTGTGGGTTCTTATGACCATGACTGACTGTATGCAATTATAGAAATAGTCAACGCTTCCATGTTATCTCTTATTATGTCCCCTAAGGTAATCCTTTGTTATAAGGTGATTAGAACATGAAGGTAGTTTCTCTTGATTGAGAAAAGTTAAGCGTGCTCATTTGGTAAACCGTTTTTCTTTCTCTCATCTTACTTGTTCTTGCCTTCAAATGTGAAACCCTTGGCTTGATGCTATGTTGTGGTCTTTGTATTTAAATTATTTGTATTTTATCATGATGCATGATTTCTATTGGCTCGAAGTTGCACCATCGAATGTCAACTTTCAAGTTCCTGATGTCAAATGCTATAAAAATTTAAAATATAGTAATTTCAGTGTCACGCAACAATGGTGATTTTGTGTTGACAGTACGCTTGAACACCTCCACCAGAGTGTATAATCTATTTGCTGACATTAATTATTTAAAAATATCTTTCAGTTGTCTATCTTGTTGAAGTAGTATTATTGATCGAACCTGTTTTGATATTGCCCGTTTCTCCTTATTGGTATCTCTCTCTTGCAGGAAGGAATGGCATATGATCTGATTATTGGGACGACAAAAATCATCAACGGTCATTCATTGGTTGAAACATTCTTTGAGAGTTTTGGTTAACTTGTCCAACTTGTGTTAATTAGTGATCCTTTTTTGGGGTTTCGCTTTCCTATCTTCCCTGGAACAACCGCAGCAATCGTAATTATGGCTTATTGGGCATCAAGCGAGGTTGTCAATCTGAAGCGCTTGGCAGGATATGAATGCAGTTGAATCTTGTTGCGTGTCGCCAGGGTATCTATTGTGTTTATTCGATTTTGCAGCAATATCTATTCTGCGGAGACATTTATTTTGTGTCTTGAGAGTGAGTTGGGGATGGTATGATTGTTATGTGATGAAGATGAACATACAGGATCTGTCAGCGAAGTAAATGTGTACTTTGAATATGTTTATATGGATTCAATAATTTTTGATTCGATAATTTTAAATACAATATGATGATATAATATAAAAATAATATAAAAAAATATAAAAGACAAACAAAATTTTAACGAAATTTTGATAAAAATAAAAAAAAATGTATTTTTTGTATATGGGTTTGATAAAAATATAAAAATGTATTTTGTACTTGATGTGTTATGAGTTATGATATGATAATTATTATGTATTATGAATTGACCCGAAACAAATGTCACAAACGTATGAATAATGATATTTAACCAATCATAATAACAAATCTGGCAATGTTGGCTCAAAACCAAATCTTATGGAATCAGCTATATATTTGTTTGAGGGGTTTTTAATTATTTTTTTTCGAAATATTATGGTGGGTGGAGGGAAGGAAAAAAATCTTCAAATTTGTTGAAAGAATGGAATTGTTGATCCCACGGTCGATGCAAACGGTGTAATAATGTGGTTAGATCAAAGTCGGGCTTGAAAAATGTTGGAACCCTCTCTGCAAGTTGGAGAGACTAACAGAAAATTCTATGGCTTCACATGCAAGGAATGGAAATTGGGTGAATTTATATTCGTTGTGACAGGAAAAATCAAATTTTAAACTTGTCAAAGTCAGATGTGAATTGTTATTTGGTCATTACAATTTTGGGTTAGTCTTTCATGCAGCATACGAATTAGATCTTCAAACATTAGTTTTTTTCCACGATGATATAAAAAATCAAACCAACAGTGACTGCAAATGGTTAGGCTCCATAATTTATCATTTCCACAATGAAAGAAAATTAGAAATTCATCCAAATAGTTATGGCAAATGGTCTTTGATGGTTTTGTATTCCCTTTTGATCAAGACAAGTCCTTTGCCTGTAAAATCTGAGTCACTAGGATACGTTGAACCTCACAAGGATCGTTCATTTTAGAGACTACAATTGCTGTAACGGTTGAAAAATTTTGGGTTTAAAAACACGTTAAAAAGTATGCTACGAAAAATATTATTTATAAATTTTAAATGTTAGATATTGTTATGAAAAATTATTGCGATAAATTAAAATGTCCAAAAAATTTGTATAAAATAATAAACATTTAATAATAGGAGGATAATAAAATTATTTTTCACAAAAATTGCATTTGAAAACAAAAGCATTTTTTCAAGAATTTTTTGGTTTGGGTTTGCCAAACCAAGCTTTTAAACCAAAAAGTTACGCATATATTTTTAATTGTTTAGCATCTGTATGATATAAAAATAATTTTTTGAACAATAAAAATAGAAGATGGATTTTTCTCACTTTGAGTCTAACCAACATTAAAAATATTATTTTTAATATTTAAATATGATCTGAGCTGATTCGTATATGTATAAACTCATAATCGACTCAACTCGATTTAAAATTAATAAAATATTTATTTTTAATATAAAATATTATTTTTAAAATATAAAATTAAATAAATAATATATATTTATATTAGAGTAGATTTGCATAAAACTTGATTTTGACTTTTTTTAAAATATTTGCCTTGAAACCGATTAAAAAAAAAAAAAAACTGATCTTATAGAGTTGAGTCGAGTTGTAATCCGATGGATGGTTAACCATGAATAAAAGTAACTTTCAACCTCGATGCTAATCAAATCGAAGATCATTTACTGTAGAGGACGAAGTGTCACGGACCTAAAAAAAATCTTGAATCTCACATCGAATATAATAAGAGGGTAACTGAGGTATATAAGGGTTCACACCACCTTCGTCTTGTGAGGCGCCTTTTGTAGGACAAAACCGTGAGGTCAAGGGGATTAGAGCGGACAATACCTCATAAGGGTGTGAACCGTGATAGGAAGGCTGATCTGAGACTCGGAAGGGTAAATGCCCGGGTTCCAGAACCACGCGGGTACGGAGCTTAAGTCTCGACTCGTGACAAGTGGTATCAGAACCAAACCTAAACCGTTCGATCTACGCCAAGCATATCGAGGGAGGTAGGCAAAGTGGCCAGCCTCCGTGATGAGGACGTCATGAGGTTGGATGCGAAAAAATATCACGGACCTAAAGAAGAGTCTTGAATCCCACATCGAACATAATAAGAAGGTCACTATGATATATAAGGGTTCACACCATCTTTTTCTTGTAAGGCGTCTTTTGTAAGACAAAACCGTGAGATCAAAGGAACCAGAGCGGATAATACCTCACAAGGGTGTGAATCGTGACGGTTAGGTTGATCCGGGACGTCGGAAAGATAAATGCCTAGATCCCGGAGCCGCGCGAGTTCGAAACTTAAGTCTTGACCCGTGATACAAGAACTTGCCAATTCCTTGTTTCTAGTAATCTCATCATTCAGAAGGTCATTAGCGTACAAGTTATGCCAAGCAATTCAAAGATCCACTTGAAAACAGCTTCCCTTAGAGCAAATTATCATTAAAATAAATACGACAGTAGCTAACCTCCACTTTATGCTAGTCAAAGTTTACATGAAAAACTCTAAGCTTTATCAAACTCCATATGCTATAATTTACAGCAGGTATCATGCAACAATATGGGAAAAGATCAAATTTTCTTAAAATACCTTGTATTAAATATGGTAATACCCTGAAACAGGGATGGGATGCAGAAGAGCAATTCCTCCCAATGCCAAGGCCGATCGATGTTCACTGCTCTTTTGAACATCCTGTTGATATACATTTCCTTCGTATACCCATCATGTACATAGGCTGTTTGAAACACCGAATAATATTATCATGAATTTCACAAAGAACTCAGAGAGGCCGGATTTTCCTTTGCTTCAAGTCGTTGGAGGAGTTCCAAGATACATCCAGCTTTTCTCTTTGCTCTGTCAGTGCCACTGTCAGACAGCTCCTTTAGTGCCTCCTCTGCACCAAATTCCTTTGCTATTTTTAATTGCTCTATATCACCCATGCAAAGTGACCACAGTATGGCTGCAGCATTCTCCCGATTACGTGGAGAACCAGTCCGAATAACCTCCATTAAAACAGGAATTGGGTCAGCCTGACCAATTGCCACCTTTCCTTCTTGATGACTTGCAAGAATGGCCAGAATCGCCAATGCTTCATCCACCATCCCACCTCCTGCATCCTTCAGCAGTCCCATCAATGGTGGCACTATACCAGCCCTAACAGCCCTTGCCTTGTTTCCCTGATAGATTGAAAGATTGAAAATAGCAGTAGCAGCATCCTTCTTTCCTCTTGGAGACCCTTCACAAAGCAGCTTTATAAGGGCAGGAATAGCCCCGGCTGCACCTATCGCCACCTTATTCTCATCTATAACAGATAAACTGAAAAGGGTAGCAGCGGCATTTTCTCTAGCCTCCATGCTGCCATTTTTCAACACATCTACTATATCAGGTATAGCTCCAGCATTAACAATGGTTCCCTTGTTACTGTCATTGATGGAAACGTTGAGAAGAGCTGTCACGGCATGCTCTTGTGTTCGAGGATCCGTGGAGGACAATAACTCTACAAGAAGAGGTATGGCTCCTGCCTCAGCAATACACACCCTATTATCTGCATTTCTTTTTGCCAATAACCGGAGTTCACCAGCAGCTGCTCTTTGCTGTTCTGAATTTCCATTTGCAAGTTTTTCCAATAAAGCGAGGATAGCAGCACGATCACAGTCTGAGACACAGCTTCCTGGTTTTTTGCTTCTACAAGTCCCTTGCTTTTTAGGCAGCTCAACGCCATTGCTCTCACACCACAAAGCTATGAGACTTTTTAAAACATAGTTTGGTGTAAGGGCTGCGTGCACTAGTGTCTGCTGCGTTTTGGGACAGGTCTTGTGCCCTGCATCCAACCATTTCTGAATACAGGATCTTTCATATGTCTGCAAAAGAAAGCAAAAACCAACTAAGAATATGGAACCAACAAGATTAAAATATCTTAGTGTTTAATAATAATAATAATAAAAAGTTAGGGATGCATTTTGCCAGTTAACCTGTCCAGTGGAGACAATTACAGGGTCTCTCATCAACTCAAGAGATATTGGGCACCGGAAATCATCTGGGATAACAGGTGATCTGTGTTTCATCATGCCCTTTTCACCCTCAGAGGAGTCAGCTTCAGGATTTTCAATTGGTATATAATCTTTAAGCTTCTTGAGCAGTGATGACATCTTCTCAAAGCACTCCCCCGGATCTCCACCACTGGCAATAGCCAGTTCATGGAGAGCAAATGACTCTTTTGTTAGATCATTGAGTGTCCTTAGCTGCAGCTTATCTGAAAGTCTTTTGAGAATTGCAGGGTCGGGATCTTTTTCTTTCTGTGCTACAGCTAAATCCTGGTCTAGTTGCAAATCAGGGGAGTCTGGTCTTTCTTTTGCTCTTCTGAATTGTGTATGAACAAGTTCAATCTGACAAGAAATAGAACAGGTCAGACAAGTCATCAAAGCTTTGTATATTATTGATCTATTTATTATAGCCGTTATTTTTTGTCAGCATGTGCATTTTGCTGAGTCTTTCCATCTCTTGCATGCAAAAGTTCAATGAGATAAATACTAAGAAAAGGGAATAGAAGTTGCAAGCACGTAGGAATTTATTTATCAATCGCTTGATTCTAGCTGTTTGTTCTTGTCAAACTATAGTTTTGCTTATTCCAAATGTGCATGGAACAATTCAAACAAAATAAAGACTAAAGATAACAGTTTTATTTTGGGCAAAATTTCCAAGGAAAAGTACCTGCTCCTGGACTTCCTCTGATATATCGAGTTTATCATAAGGAATCTCATTCAATGCTGCTTCGATGGTTTCTGTCATTTGCTGGAACTTTCCTGCTATCTGGTCCATTTGCAGAGCCTGTGAGAAGTAATGCAGAACTCGTCTCAATGAATGACTACTACATGAATATAAAGGTATTCGTGAAAGATAAAATGGTTAATTAGCAGCAAAATGATTGTTTAAGTATGAAAAAGATCAAGCTTATTTCGAAGGATCTTGAAGAAAAAAAAAAAGAAGATGTTCATATGACATTCTAAACTCTGAGAAATTAATCTAACTTGTTTGTGCCCTTAATAAGTTTGCATATCAAGTAAAATTATAAGCATGGGAAAAAAGGAGGAATTTCTTTTCATTCGGATCCAGAGTAAACAGATTACTATTACACACAATTCGTAACAAAAAGATTCTCAGTAGGTTTGTAATAACAATATTTTACGCGCTTCCATAGTTCCATTGATAACCTCAAAATAAATTCCCAAAATTGGTACAGGCAATCAAAAGCTATAAATCCTTAAACACTTGAAAGGCCAAAACTCATACAAGACAAAATCCACCAGCTTTTCAAATCTAACGAAACACTTCAAAGAGTCATCTGTGATGCTTCATGGGAAAAATAAAAATCCTATAATATATATTCCCAGGACCTGATTCATCAATAGAACCGAGACAAAGCATCAATGCCAAAAACACAAGCTTTGAAGAACAACTAGTCATTGTGTATAACATTTTTGTCACATCATAACCAATTATAACATCTTTTTTATCAAAACAAAAAAATGGCAAACAATGCACGAAATAAGGACAGTGATAGGATGCAGTACACTCTCAAATAATACCAATATAACTTTATGATTATAGAATTATATTTTGTAATTGATCTCTTATGTCTTAATTGGGTGATTGAAAGAACTCATTTTAAGTAAGATAGTTCTTAGAAAAATATAAAAGTTCTAATCTTCCATTAGAGTTGATAATTGCTAACATACAAACATAAGTCAATGAGTATTTTTCTTTGTTTTCTTACTCAAATTTCTAAACTCTTAGTTCAGTTATCAGGATTTGATTCCTGACAACGTCAAGTATCCAAAAAAAAAAAAAAATCATAGTAATAACAATATTTTAAACATAAATTTCGTTTGTATGATTCAGCGTGAGAATGTTAGGCTAAATAGCCAAATCCAACTGAATATTCACGTCAACGGAAGCATAATAAAATAATCAATCAATCACGTAAGAAATAATAATTTAACGCAGTTTGATCCAACCGACTTACGTCTAAAGATGAGAAAAAAAATTCATTAGTTATAAAGAATTACAAATATATAATCTCAATCAATCACTTAATGATTAATACTTATAAACCCTTCCAGTCTCCTTTAATTCTATGAAATATTCTCAACCTAAACAAATATATACTCATATATACCATACTTATATAGACTCTTTCAATCTCTTTTAGTTCACTCACAAATATTTTAGTTCCTTCACAAACATTAAAACATATACGCATAAAGACATAAATCTCTAATAATCTTATAAAACTCCATAATTCTTTTATATTTTTTTTGTCATTTCTAAACTTATAAAGATTTCGTTTATTTATAAATATATAAACTTACCTTGAATCTTTTTTTTTTAAAATATAATACCTAATCCATCTCAAACAAAAATGTTATGAAATTTGATTTACTGTTAAAAAAAAAGGTACAAAAGCAAGGATTGCTTAAAATACAAAATAGAATACTAAAAAAAAAAGGAAGAAAAATCTATTTGACATCTTAAGAAAACTAAAAACCTTCATCAATACAATCCAAATTCAATCATTTAATAAGATTCAGAAAATCAGGTCAAGTTCTGATTTTTATTTTTGAACAAAACAACACTCAGGCTCAGCAAACAAACATAAAGTTTTGACTTCTTTTTTTTTTTAATTTTCAAACCAACATCACATGGCACCAAAGAAAAGAAAAACACAAACTTTTCCCTTTCGTTTTCATTAACTTTTTAGCGACCAACAGAGAATTAATACTCAAGAAAATGAAGAAAAACATTACCTGATACAACTTGCTTCCTTCATTGACCGAATTAAGAAGCTCTTTAGCAGAATCCAAAGCAACCTTCAGCAGCTCAAACCCTGTAATCTCTTCAATTTTTATCATTATCTCTTCGTTTCCGTCTCTCAATTCTTCAAACAAAGGACTCAACAGCTTAATTCTACGTACCAAATTCCCATGCATTTTCTTACACGAGTTTTTACACTCTGGTAACCCAGATATCCCCTTCACCAACTCCGCCAGTTGACTCAGTATCTGGCCCTTGGAATCACCCGTTAGTCCCATGATCATTCAAAAACAATAAAAATAAAAAAAAATCCAAAATTGAAGGAAAAGTTTTGATCTTCTGAGGGAATTAAAAGGTACCCAGACTGGGAAATTGGGTTAACTGAAATGGGTATTTCGGGAATTTAACAAAAGGATGCCATGGAAGCTGGGATTTTAAGCTGGTTCTTGTTAGAACAAAGAAAGAGAAAAGAAATAAATTTTGAGAACCAAATTAAAGATTGTTATTTTGTTTTAATAATTGAAAGGAGGATTGATTTCAATTAATTAATAATGAGAAATTTTAAATGATTTATTAATCAAATGATTACTTGGTCGTACTGTTCATTTTTTATGGTTGGGAAAGGGGAAGAAGATTTTGGTCATTTTTGACAAAATAATTGTTTCATTTTGACGAAATTACCCTTTATTTTTCATTTTTTGAATTTTTTTGAAAAAAAATTATAATTGAAAAAAAAAAAAGGATAGTTGGCGATTTTTAGATAAAAGAGAAATAATTAGCAGTAAACAAAAAATGCACTATAATTTTACACAATAATTTTATGTTATTTTCTTAAAAATAAAAATTTAGAGAAAAAATTATAAAACTCATCTTTTTATTATTGTTGATAATTACAAACAAAAGTAAATTATTGTAATTACCCAATCTTTGACTTCTATTATCAACAAAATTTTAAAAGAAAAAAAAATTCAAAAATCACTCTTTAAAATATTAATAATAATAATAATAAGTAAATCGATAGTATATATATTTAAAATGGAAAATTTTGAATATAAACTATGAATAAACTCTCATATTATAAAATAATTAATAAAATAAAATAAATTAATTATACAAGTTTTCAATATAGAATATGTCAAGTGAAATTTATAAAATTTAAGTGTTTTATTTCATTTTGTTTCTAAAATCATATTATATAATATATATTTTTATTACCAATAAAAACAAATTAAACTTTTTTCCCTAAAAATACTGATAACTCAAATATTTAACTTTTTCTAAGAAATAAGTATTTAAGATTTGAATATGTTAATAAAAGGGGCAAAACAATAATTTGAAGCAAAACAAGGGCATTTCCGTCCGAATAATATTCGTTGGCTTAGCGCCTGAGCCATGACATCACACCCACAATAATTTGTCGGCTTCCCGCTGACGTTCTAGATTTATGATGGAGCCGTTAAAAGCCTCGGCTTCCATCGGCTCCACCTCAAGTCAAAGTTCAATATTGTTGGCTATTAAATAGACTTTTTCTTTATTTTAGTTTGACATGAATTATATTTTGTATTTCATTTTATACATAAAATTTACAATCCATTTTTTTTCTGTCGTCTTACGATCGTGGAAAATTATAAGTCACTAGTTTCATAGATTTTTAATGAATCTGATATTTAATTTAGTTAATATAATTATTTTTAAAAATTAATATTTAATAAATTTAAATTTTAAAATTTAAAATAAATTGTCAATAAGAACTTAAATTTAAATCTATACTATTTAATATCCAACAAGCATGTTACCATTTAAGTCAATTTGCAATAATTTTTAGGGTAAATTAGGTCTACCGTTTTTAAATTTTGAGATAAATGTTACTTTAATTTTTAATTTTTAAAATTTAAAAAGTAATATATTAGCCCCTTATATTTCTATGGTCATAACGAAACATTGTCATCAACAAAGCCATTAATGCAATTATCAAAAGTCAATTGTCAATTCATCAATAAGTCAAGGATAAAATTATAAAAAATAACAATAGTACAATTTTTTACTTGTTACAATTAAAACAATAAATATTTACTAAAAAAAGTATTAATAATTTTGATAATTATATAAAAATAAAATTATATTTTGTTCATAATTTTACTAGTAAATATATTTTTTTTGGGTTCAAGATTAATATAAAAAAAATCTATACTTGACAAAGAAAGTTATCTATTTTTTAAAAAAAAATTATTTGTTGATTGTTTAAAACATATAATTATACTGCACCGCATCATATAATATTTCATCATATATTTGTCGTTTATTTTACAATACTACATCATCGTAAAATATTTCTTCAAAAGTCAAGTTTTTTTTAGTCATAAAATATTAGTATAAAATTCTCATTATCACTTATTAATAAATAATGATAAATTAAATTATTTAAATTGTAATTAAATATTTTCATGAACTGAGCCAAACTTAAATGACACTTTTAAAATCTTGCTTAAGATGAAGTTTGACTTGTCTGCTACAATCTTAAATAGACTTATTTTATTATTAAAAATTAAAATATTAAAATTATATTCTTATATTAATATTTTAATATTTTTAAATATGTTTTAAAATACAAATAAATTTTTTATTGATAAAATAATAATTTAATCGACTAAATTTTAAAAATCATGTTCAAAACTCAAATCTAAGTCAAATTTAGCTTTGTGAATCTTATTGGTAGCTTAATTTATAAATAATCTAATTGCAACTTAATAAATCTTTTTTTAAAATATTAATTGATTTAAAAATTAGTATTATAAAAATAATAATAAACATACATAAGAATTGATATCCATAAAAATAGATAAAGAAACTAAATATTATAAAACTTTTATTTTCTTAATTATATTATTTTATATCTTAGCTTTAAATTTAAAATATTATTAATTCATTATTCTACTTTGTAATTTTTTTTTTTTAATCTTTCATTGATTGAAAGAACTTTTTGTTACAATCATCAAAATATAAAGATAAGCATGTTACTTTTAAAAATTTAGGAATTAAAATGATATTCACCTTAAAATTTAGGGATTGTGAAAACAATTTACCTTGATTTTTAAAGTTTGACAAAAAAAAGAAGTTAATAAATTTTACTTTTAAATTATAATTTGTAATGTAATTACAATAGTTTAATTTTTCAAAAGAAAATTTACAATAATTACAGGGGATTTGATTTTTAGCGGTATTTTTTTTATCGTTTAGCGACATTTATTAACGCTACTATAAAGTTACGACGTTTGCGAAAAAATATCACGCAGAGTACCGTCTATACACGCATCATGATAAATAGCGATGTTTTCAAAAAAATGCCTCAATATTAACAACATTTATATCAGAAGCACCACAATTTTAGCGACGTTTATATATTTGAAATGTCGTTACTTTAGAGGCATTTGAATTTGAAAACAGCTCAATATTATCAGCGTTTGTATCTTTTGGTCACCTCTATTTCAGTTGCATTTTTACAAGAAAAATGTCATTGCATTGACGGCATTTGTAACAGAAAACGTCACTATTTTAGAGGCGTTTGAATCTAAAAATGCCTTAATATTTGTGGCGTTTATATCTTTTGGGCGCTGCTAATTCAATTGCGTTGTTATGAGAAAAACACCGTTGTTTTAGTGGCATTTTTATAAAAAAAATGTCACTTAACTAGCGACGTTTGCTGAAAATAACATCGCTACTTATAGTGACGTTTATGCTACAAACGCCACTAAATTATTCATTTAATGGCATTGCCCAACGCAAATGCTGTCATTATGTAAAAATATATATATTTTTAATTTCTTATAATAAATTTTATTTTCAGTAAAGAGCTTAAATTTAGAAACTAAAATTAATATTAACTTCATTCACATTTAAATATACATCTAATTAACACAAAATTTAATAATTAGTACAATAACATTAAAATATGATAGATAAATTAACCAAATAAAAAATTAAAATGTATGAAATGGATGACTACATACATTTTGTTGGCTGCCAATTGATGAAGAAAATTTTTCACCTTAGTCACTACCGTGCTCAACAACCTACTGAATAATATCATATAATTTTTAACACTTATTTGTATGCTTATTTTTTATTTAAAAATTTTCATATTTACTAAATATAATAACTAAGTTGATGGAGCACTAAGATCGTTTCCTAAAAATTGTTGTTGCACAAAATTCATAAGATGATTGAATCGATCATGCAACTACTGAAATTTAACACGCTCTACCTCAATTCTAACACATTCTTCTTTAATTTTGGCACGCTCCTCTTTTCTTTCTTCTTCCATTTGCTTAAAACATTGTTATATAGTTTGTAACTCCCCTCTCAATATTGAAATGTATCGCAAAGACTGATTTGTTGAGAGTGTAAATTACGGAGAGTTATGTCCATAGTAGGCAGTTGGTGTTGGACCCAATCCATTGAGTCTGAGGAAGACTTATTTGATAAACAATCATTTTCTTTCATTGGTGTGGATGAGGTGAAAGAATTTTATAAAATGGATGAATTATCAGTTACTGAAATCGTTACTTATATGAGGTCAGCTTATAAATACAAATATGCACATTCAATATGTAGTAAGTTAGTATTATGGTGTAATACTAACCAGCAGTGTTGATTATTTTCGTGCAGCTTCCTGTATAAAGAGCTGAAAGTGAGACAGTTGACGAACAGATTTAGATTTATTGACCCCAACTTCATTAGTGAGCAGAGTGACACAGTCGTGTATCGTGCTAATCATGTGATCCTATGCATGAAAAGATCGGTTGATTATTATTTGCTCTCGTACAATGCACAATAAGCTATATTCCAACCTTACTTACTCTAACCTACTCCATTCTATGATTTAATGCGTATTCTGAATATATCATTGTTATTATTTTGCAGTTGTCATTGGGTGCTTATTGTGATTGATACCAAATCTTTCACGCCATACTTTTTTAATTCAGTTAATCCAATGGCGATGCCTAACCCCGATATTCAAACTTTTATAAAGAGGTATTATAGTACTTTATTATATTATATATGTTCTGTTTCTTCATAAGAAATTTTATTTATGTTTCCACTAATTTTTTTTCTTTTCAATTTAGGGTAATATCTGCATTCAATAAGAAGATAAAGAAACTGAAATGGGTGTCATTATCGGTAAATGTCAAATTTATTCTTTTAAATCTAAATTGTGTAGATGAATATTTTTTAAACCGACTTAATTTAATTTTCAGGTACCTCATCAATCCGATAATACTGAATGTGGATATTATGTCTTTTGTTTTATGTGGGAGATAATGTTATATGATTTTATGACCACACCATTCAATGTTAGTATATATTTCATTAACTCGTTATATATTCAAAAAATAAAATGGTATATTATGTTCTCATTTCTTAACATTTACTTATGATTTTTTTCTTTTAGTGGGAAGGTAAAGAAAGCTTCACGGAAGAGAAGCTAGATGAAATCTGTAAAGAATGGTGTGATTATGTATTGTCATTTATCA